TAAATTAGCTTTGCCCTAAAGAAAAAGAACCTTCATCCTGCCATCTACTCTCAGAACCCAGCCTTCCTTGTAGCTTTCTTTTGTCACCCACATGAAATTAAGGTTACCTTCATGGCGTAAGATTATTTTCAGACTTTCCCTTCATGAGCCCTTTTGTCCCTAAAGACAAATGCTAAAGTTCCCAGAGACGGTGCAGAGAAACTTCTGCCCTGCCACTCCCCAACGGTGTGTTTTCTCTTCACCAAGTACACTTCCTGCAACTTGAGGATCTCCCCCATCCACTGCAGTGTCCCCGTATAACATTGTCAGGTTGGTTTGGCCCATCTTTTTATTCTTTAGTCTTGAGACTTAAGTGGTGTTGGTTCTGTTAACTGACCTTTTATTCCCAGTTATAGGTCAATCACTTCATCCAAACACCATACACATGGTTTTATGAGATGAGACTTCCAAAGAGCAACCTTCCTTGGAACATTCAGAATAGACTGTATTTAGCAAATTGTTGGGCTTCTCCGGTGGCTCAGCAGTAAAGAATCTGCCTACAATACAGCAGATGCAGGAGACGCGGGTTTGATCCCTGGGTCAGGAAGATCCCTTGGAGGAGGACATGACAAGCCACTCTAGTACTATTGCCTGGAGAATCCCATGGTAGAGGAGCCTGGTGGGCTACAGTCCATAGCATCGCAAAGAGTCAGAAATGACTGAATCAACTTAACCTGCCTGCATGCAGAGCAAAATGGTAGATAACCTGTTTACGGTGAAAAACAAGACAAGACTCCTTTGCCAACGTAGTATCTGCTGATGCAGAGAATGAAATTTAGCAAGAAACAAATAGACCAGCTATAAGAATCTTGCCACTGACTACCCATTCAGGGTGGAGTCATAAACAGCAATTCCTCAGTGATGATTTTTATGATCTCAGATTATGTTTCTCTCACTTTGAGTCCTCAAAACATGTCCCATTATTGAATCCATTCTCTGTACATACTCACAAAGTTCCACCTAGATCTTGTAGCTCTTCTCATAGCTCTTCTGCAGTCAATATGTGCCTACTTTGATCAGTAACTATGCCCCTGGGCACACTTTACTAGCAAATACAGAAACCGTTAGAAATTCAAATGCAACATCGGTGACATGAAACTGATGGTTCTGTCCTAATACCCTGCACACACTGTGGAGGCACCCAGGTGCCCTATGTGGGCACCCACGATGCCCCCAAGGTCATTCACTGACCAGGTGACTGAGGCATGGCCGGGAAAAGCCAGACATGGTGTTCTATGCACTTTTGAACATCTTTGGTGGTCTAGAAGGATGTCCCAGCTGACCAAAAGAAGCCCTCTTGGCCCATGAAGGCAGAAGTAGCCATCTGAATTTAGTGCTTGCCTGTCTAACCCACTGTGACCCTGAGTAGATTTACCCCTTCTCAGAGAAGCCAGGAAGGATTTTCAGATACACAGATGATAAGTCAGAGCTGCAAAGACAGGCAGTGGACTCAACAAACGAAGAATGAAGATGTCACTTAAGAAAACACAGCCAACAGAATGTGGTTTCAGCACACGCATAACGTGGTGCCAGTGACATGTATGGGGAAGCAGCTTCCCAATATGTGGGAATGTTGATATATTCAGTAATGACACTTGGATTCAGTTATAATACTTGGATATTTGACTAAAATTAGATTTCTTTTTAATATCTTTAATATCTGTGAAATGTGTTTTTGAGAAAGAAGTAAACAAAGGAACCAATCTGTTGTTGGTATGCATATAACACTCATGTCATATTCATAGATAATACTCATGTGTAATATCCATGTGTAATATTCAGATAATAAAGGAAAATCCACAAAGTTATTACAGAAAATTGAAAGTTTGGGTGACATAAAAACAATTTCTATGATAAAAGGCATCCTAAGCAGAGTTTTAAAACATATGAAAAAACTGGGAGAAAAATGTCATTTAAGAAGTTCTAAAATCATTTCAAAAGGCTAACAACACAGGGACCAGGATATGACTGGGTTGTTCAGAGGAAGCTCACCAGCCAATGTAAACACCACCACTATTCAGGGAAATCCAAACTAAAACAACTGTGAGATAATAGTTTTCACCTATTGGGCTGGCAAACAGTAAGATGTGCAATGATTTCAAATGTTAGCAGACGTGGGAAAACAGCTGTTCTGATTTGGGGAGAACAAGTCTATACAGCTATTTCGAGAAAAATTTGATGTATTTATTAAGATAAAGAGTAAGCACAGATTTTGGCTCAGCGATTCCCCTGCTTTATGTCACTCTAGAGAAACAGATGTGCATTGGAGATGGACGGAGATGTTCATGGCAGTGTTGTCGCCAGACAGGAGCTTGGGTTACAGGGCTGAACTGGGGGTTTGGGGGTGTCAGGGAGTTGTGGTAGAGGTAGGGGAGGGTGATGGTGGTGGAGGGACTCTGTTTTCACATTGTTTGATTCTTTTGTAATGTATTCAGGTACTGATTTAAAATGATAAATTAATAGGCGAGAAAAATAGATTATGAAATAAATTTGTTTTTGAACAAAAATTATATGTGGACATATGTATAATACTGGCTTCCCTGGTAGTTCAGATAGTAAAGAATCTGCTTGCTAATGCAGGAGACCAGGGTTCAAATCCTGGGTCAGGAAGATCCCCTGGAGAAGGGAACAGCAGCTCACTCCAGTATTCTTGCTTGGAAAGTTCTATGGACAGAAGAGCCTGGTGGGCTACAGGCCATGGGATTGCAAAGAGTTGGGTATGACTGAGCAACTAACACACACATGTATAATACAGGCATCCCAGGTGGCTCAGTGGTAAAAAATCCAACTGCCAATGCAGGAAACATGGGTTTGATCCCTAGTTTGGGAAGAACCCCTGGAGGAGGAAATGGCAACCCACTCCAATATTCTTGCCTGTGACATCTCATGGACACTTTACCTTGTGGGTTACAGTCCATGGGGTCACAAAGAGTTGAACATGACTGAACAGAGAGCAGAGAGAGATGTGTGCTACATATGGGAAAATATCCATCCATATAATATGTATCAGAGAGAAAACATCGAAACATACACAAAACACTGTGTAAAGTGGAATCATAGATCATTTGAGACTTTGGTTTCTCTTCTCTTGAATTCCTAATTTTTCTATAAAAACGTAGAAGTTCTCTGTAATGGATTTTTAAAAGGAGACCACTACCCAGGGACTGCCAGCACTGTGTGCTGATATCTGAGTGCCGTAGACTTTGGGTGTGGCCACATTCTGGGCAGATCTCACATGTGTTCATTGCGAGGGGCAGCGGCCAGTCACAGTGGGAAGTGTCATGGGCTCTGGGGGCCTCTGTAAGGTGTCTAGACTCCACTTCACTGCCTGGAGGTGCACTGAAGACAGGGCATACCCCTCACTCCCTTGCCATAAGCATGGAGGCTAGGTGGGAACCATGTGCCTGGGGTTAGTTCTTCTGCAGTTCCTGCTGTTTGCTGGAACTCTCCACGTGGTTTGGGGAGGTCTTAAGTATAGCAAGCCAGATGTGTTGCTCCAGGGTGGACCATCCTGAGGTTGACAGGAGCCAGATGGAGGCGGCAGGGCACAGGGTACCACAACCACTCCTGTTGCCCACTGTGATGGTTTGAGTCAGGACGTCATCACCCCCCTCACTGCCTCCTTGGGTCATTGCAGGGGGCCTGAACGTTCTCTGTGGAAGCCGCTCAGACAGGGATGGGATGAAGCAGAGCTGGATGGCTCTCCAAGTTGGGAAGACCCCCTGGAGGAGGGCATGGCAACCCACTCCAGGATTCTTGCCTGGAGAATCCCATGGACAGAAGAGCCTGGCAGGCTACAGTCTGTAGGGTCACAAAGAATCGGACGCCACTGAAGTGACTTAGCATGCAATGGCCCACAGGCTTCAGTGAAAAGGGAAAGTTACCCAAGACCATTATGTCACTTGCTGGGAGTCTGGACAAAGCTGTATGAGGCTCTTCAGCCAGTACAAGGGGACTCAGGGCCTGAGTCCAGAGTGCTGGCCCTGCACTCGCTGGGGTTCCAGGTGCATTCAATTCCCTGGAATCTGAACCTTCGCTGGGCACCCACAACCCACCAAGCTGGGGTCACATTCATGCCCTCTGAGGAGGAACTGGGCCCAGGAATTGGCTCTTGTTTAACCAGCTGCGACTGGAGGGAGCATTGGCCTCCAGACTCCAGATTTCCCAGGGCTCAGATTGACCACTCAAGCAATGATGAAAGGACATGTTGATCTGGGGTCTTGACTAAACAATAGGTTTTACAACTTGAGACCCCTGAGTCTTATGGGGGGGTGTGGTTATACACACACGCACACACACACACACAGGTGGTGGTAGAAATATGGGTGATGGGGCAAGACTTCCTTGTTTCTAGGCTCAAGGAGATTTACTGAAAACCAGAACCGTGTTCTAGTAGTGTGGTTGGGACTTGAGGCTGGCTCTGTCTCCTTCTCCATCATGAGAGGGACTGACCTTCACTGAGAATCCACTGGTTCCAGCAGCTGAGAAAATCAAACTCTTTGAAATGCAACCTGTAGAGAGAAAATGTTTCTCATAAGCATTGGAGCTAACTGGGGAAGACGCTGTTTACAGCTTCTTATAGCTATTTACGCAGTTTACAGGTAAACGTGACTGGCTGTGCCAATGTCACTGGCACACAGGCCGCTGTCAGTGGGAGAAGGGCCGCTGCAGAGTCAGCAGTTCCTTCTAAAAACACAGAGGCAGAAGGCCCTGAGGGTGGACCAGAGGCCACTCCCATGTTCCTCTGCCAAGAGGTGGAGCCCCAAATTCCAGACTAAGTTCAAGGTCCTGATCCTGGGACTGATTCTGGCAGCAGCAGTCAAAGCTGCCTCTGGGTGAAGGAGAAGCTGCAGGCAGGGGCGTGGGGTTGAAGGGTCCTGGCCAAGCTCCAGTGGCGAGTGATGGTTCAAAGGACCCGCCCTGCCTAGAGTGCTTCATGAAAAATCAACCGGCCCTTCAAGCCGAGAGGCAGCCATGATAGAGCTCAGCTGCTGCACATGCCGTGGGTGCTGGGCCACAGGCCGAGCCCCAGCCCCTCCCCAGGGCGCCAGATAACTGGTGAGTCTGCATCAGATAAATGATGCAGGAGCCTCAGCAGCCAGTCTTCTGTTGCTGTCCACTATTTATTTTTTGACTGTGCTGCATGGCATATGGGATCCTAGTTCCCATCTATGGATCAAACCCATGGTGCCCCCTGCACTACAAGCATTGTGTCTCAACCACTGGATCACCAGGGAGGTTCAATATCACTTATTTTAAAACTTCTCTTTTACAAATTCCACTGCTTTTCACTTGATTACGATTTGGGCAGGGTGCTGAGGCCCCATCCAGACAAGATGCTGTGGCTGATGGTGGCCCGCTGCAGTCTGGTTCTGCCCCTGTGACCTGGGCAGGGATGGCGCAGGGGACTGTGGGCACAGATCAAGGGAAGCATGGAGAATGGGGGCTGTGGGCATCTCCCCAGGACCTAACACTGACCACTGAGGGGCCCGCCACCCAGGGGGACGGTCTACTAGCTCATGTCAGCAGTGACCCTAGGCCTTCAGAGAACTCAGTCCCCACCCTCCCTCCCTCAGGGCCGTCTCGGCTGGACCCCATGGGCAGATGTGGGTTCTGGTCTCCGGGTGGAGCCTTTAGCAGAGCAGCAGGGACATGAAGCCCCAGGGGAAGATTCTACAGAAGTCTGGCTAGATGGTGGTTTGGGTTGGGACTGAGGGACAGGGAATTAGGAGGGTCAGGGATGGAGGGCTTTGGAGCTCATTGAGGTGGGAGGGGTCAGTGAAGGGGAGGATGGGTGACTTTCTTTGTGATGTGATAGTTCAGCCCCCTTCCCTTCCTGGGCCCCCAGACATGGGCAGTTTATGCCTCTGGGTCACTCAGCTCTTGTTTCACCCTGAACAATTCTACAAAACATACAGATCTTATTTTTTGAGAGCTGTAAACAATGACATATTCTAAATGGTCAGGGCCAAGTTAGACAAAATAAAAGACTCAGTTCAGTTCAGTCGCTCAGTTTTGACCCCATGGACTGCAGCACGCCAGGCCTCCTTGTCCATTGCCAACCCCCAGAGTTTATTCAAACTCATGTCCATTGAATCAGTGATGCCATCCAACCATCTCATCCTCTGTCGTCCCCTTCTCCTCCCGCCTTCAATCTTTCCCAGCATCAGGGTCTTTTCCAGTGAGTCACCTCTTCACTTCAGGCAGTCTAAGTATTGGAGTTTCAGCTTCAGCATCAGTCCTTCCAATGAATATTCAGAGTTGATTTCCTAATTTAGGATTGACTGGGTTGATCTCCTTGCAGTCCAAGGGACTCTCACGAGTCTTCTCAGTTCAGACCAGCACAATCCCCGCGTCCATGGCAGTGCCTTCCAGATAAAGATGCACTCTGGCCATCCTCTTTGATCCTCAATGAGAGCCTTTGTCCTGTTGGTAATTATCACCGTCGGCCCAGATTGGCCTGGTTCTACATAAACTTAACTTACTGGTCTCTTGGTCACGGGGCTTGTCTTCCACCTGTAACTCTGCAACTGAGAACAGCAGTGCTTGACTCCCACAGAAGCATGGCAGCGCTGCAGGGGGAAATGAGGTCAGGCTGTTCCCTGGCGTTTTGGGGAGGGAAACCCTGTGCTCCTGTGTTTGGGGTCGGAAGGCCAAGGGCAGAAGTGATGTATGAAGAAGGGCGGGGATGAGAGGGTGAGAGGTAGGTGCCATGTGTACCCCTGGGGCCAGCACTCAGGTTCATGGGGCTGGGGGCACCGAGGCTGAGACCAGATGCATGTGCTGGCTGCCGAGCCCACCCCATTGTCCTTTTGGGCAGCTTCCTTCTGGGGTCTGTGCCCCAGTTTTCTCCTCCCAATGACAGGGTAAGAGTAATGGCCTCAGCTATTGTGAGGGCCAGTGAGGTGCCTCCTACAGGAGCTGAGAGAAGTGTCGCTATTGGAGCTGATGCTCCTGTTTCAGCTGCTGTAACTGAGTGGACAGTGAAATGACCAGCCTGACCACAGGGAGCTGGGCAGTGTCCACAGGGGGCGCCTGCCCCTCTTCCTTCTTCTTTCTTTCTCTTCCTCCCACTGTTCCTCCCATGCCCTCATGGAGGCATCTTGTGGGGTTGGCTCAAGGATCTTTCTGGGTGCCTAGGCTGGGGTCGGCAGCCTATGACGCTTGGAACAATCCAGGCTTCACCTGGTTGTGCATGGCTGAGGTTGCTGGCTGGACATGCAAGTGAATTCAGGATGCTCATCACTCCAAAGTCAAGGCTTGTAGCTGGTTTGTGTTGTTGTACGACAGAAACCAACACAATACTGGAAAGCAATTGTTCTCCAATTACAAATAAACTTTAAAAAATAAATTGAATTAGCAAAAAAATAAAAAAAATGTCAATGCTCAGTGTTACATGGCAGTCTGGATGGGAGGGGACTTTGTGGGAGAATGGCACGTATATGTATGGCAGTCACTCTGCTGTGCTCCTGAAGCTATCACAACATTGTTCATTGGCTATACTCCAATATAAAATTAAAAAAAATTTTTTTAAAGTCAATGTTCTAGAGACAAGGACTGCTGGGAAAAGAAGGATATTTTATTTAGGAAGCTGGCAAAGGTGAATGGTGGAATAGCATCCCCCAAACTGTCTCCCCTTTGTCAGTTACTGGGAAAGAGGTTTTACAAGGAAAACTTGGGAAGTTTCAGGGGGGTGTGGTGGGGGCTACGTGCAAAACAGCACAGGCAGCTCAGCAATCATCTTGATTGTTCTAAGCGCAGTTAATCTTCGACTCCAGGGTTGGTTTGTTCCCATTTCCTTGAGGTCAGTTCTGGGAATCACGCAGGTCACAGACTCGGGGCTGCTGGGATGTTCAGGCGGTGTCATGGCTGCAATCTAGCCATCGTGCAGCTAGCTCTTTATCCTCTGGTGGTGGTTATCGTGTCTCCCAGACAGTTTAGGAATGTGTCTGGGATACTGCTATCTGTGTCCTTCCGGGAGGAGTTAGGCCTCCTGTGAATCTATCGTCCTGATCGTTAAGTGCTTGAGCCGGCTCCTTGGTGACTCAGGGCAGCCTGGAAGACCAGCTTTTCTACAAACGAGAGGCAGGCCCAGGATGTGGGTGCAGAACTGTTCCCAGGAAGGCCCCATTAGGGTCCTGTTTTGTTGCAATTTTTACATTTTTAGAAGGTTGGGGAAAAAAATTCAAAATAATATTAATATTGCATGACATGGAAAATTCAAAGTCTAGCGCCCATAAATCCTATTTTCTTGGCACACAGAGATGCCCACCTGCCTGAGTTTGCCTGTGTCTGCATTCTCACCTCAGCTGCTGGTGACCAGCATGACAGAGACCAGACGGTTCACAATGTGGGGGGCTTGCGATGCAGGGGGTCAGGCACCTGGAGTGAAGTGGGCAGCTCATGGCAGGACAAACACAGGTCTGGAGACCTGGGGGCCTTGATGACCCCTCCTCACCCTGCCGGTCACTGGAAACCTTCACTCTTGGCTCCCAGGACTGTTTGGGAAAAACCTAACTCAGGGAGGTCTTTCTGACAATTGGGATGGCTGTGCATCTAGAGTCCATCTTGGGTCCATTTTTAGGTGATTTCCTCACTACCTTCACAAAAGCCTCAGAGTCGGAAAAACTCATGTGGTCCTGTGGTGGTCAGTGAGTTTGAGTGGGAGTCCAAGTGACCCCTTGTTTCATGAACTTGGGCTCTGTATGGGTGTCAGGTATTTCCTGGTTCTGAAGAGAACAACCCCCAGGACTGGACAGGCACAGGGGTGTCAGGGATGGGGGCTCCTGTCCCTTCCATCATTCACCCACATGCTCCCTTTGGACACCAGGTCAACCTGATATTCTGCCTCTGGGCTGTGACTCATGGACTTGACTTGTGTGACCCTCTTCCCACCAGCCTGGTGGAAGAAGAGCCAGGGGTGGGCACTAATGCTCATGAACGTGAACTCCAAAACTCCCAGTAATATGTGCTTTAGAAGATGCTTGTTTACCTAAAGGATTTCTTAAGGTAAGGGGTGAGGTAAATAAGTTCATCTCTAGTTATTTACCCACTTGTTTATATTATGATGTACTTCAAACATCAGAAACATAATTACCTCAGATTATTTACAAATGATCCTTGTGTTTGCTTGTTTTTTTAAAAATATATATTACAGTGTTTTATATGTTCCCTGGTGGCTCAAACTATAAAGAATCTGCCTGCAATGCGGGAAACCTGGGTTTGATCCCTGGGTTGGGAAGATCTCCTGCAGGAGGGCATGGCAACTCACTGTGTTCCTGCCTGGAGAATCCCAGGGACAGAGGAGCCTCACAGGCTACAGTCCATGGGGTCGCAAAGAGTCGGACATGACTAAGTGACTAAGTACAGCACACACGGTGTTTTTAAAGTATTTTTATTTATTGATTTTTGGTTGCGCTGGGTCTTTGTTGCCGAGCACGGGCTTTCTTTAGTTGCGGTGATGGGGGCTACTCTCTGTTGCAGTGTGTGAGCTTCTCATTGCAGTGGTTTCTCTTGTTGTGGACCATAGGCTGTAGGCATTTGGGCTCAGTAGTTGTGGCTCATGGACTTTCATTGCTCTGAGGCATGTGGGATTTTCCCAGACCAGGGATTGAACTTATGTCCCCTGCATTGGCAGGCAGATCTTATCCACTATACCAATAGGGAAGTCCTGTGCCTTTTTTTTTAATTGTGGTAAAATACATAGAACATACAATTTAGCCTTTTTAACCATTTTTAAGGGTACAGTTCAATGGTATTATCACATTCACATTGTTGGGCAACCATCTCCACCATCTATTCCCTGACCTTTTTAGTCTTGCCCAAAACTCTCTCCCCATCAGACACTAACTCCACTCTCTCCCTAGCACCATTTGTTTTTAAAGATTTAGCCTTGTTGAAAACACACAGTTAACATGTCAACTTTAACTACAGTTGAGTGGACCACTCAATGAACGTACCATACTTTATCTATTTTGAAGTTGGTGGATATTGACCTTATTTTGGTCTCTCCTTGTTGCAAACAGTGTCTTTCAAAAATACAGGAATGATCACATTAT